CCTGTTGCGAACACATGTTGTTGACAAGTTGTGAGATTTTAATGTGTGTATTCAAAATGTGATGTATATATTTCAGGTCATCATTGATGGGAATGACTCCGCTTCATGTTGCTATTCAACAAGACCATATCAAATGTGTAGGTTTGCTCCTTCAGTACGGCAGCGACCTTCACAGTACGTTTGCAGAGTACCCAACTGTCGTCGCGTTTGCACGTTACCATGGGAACCCAGATATAATGCGTTTGTTACATGCATTTCTGGTGGACCGAGGGTTGGGTCATCATCAGCCTGCTCAGAATTATAACGCTATTGTTTTGGTAAGTTTAGAATTGATAGAACTATCCAGTATAAATAAAGTTAGTTTAGGTTTCCTTCTGTAGTAACACTGGATCAATAAGAGATGACTCTTACTGGACCTCTAGGAAGAACAGTTTAGAACTGATAGAGCTATCCAGTATAAATAAAGTTAGTTTAGTTTAGGTTTCCTCCTGTAGTAACACTGGATGAATAAGAGATGATCCTTACTGGACCTCTAGGAAGAACAGTTTAGAACTGATAGAGCTATCCAGTATAAATAAAGTTAGTTTAGTTTAGGTTTCCTCCTGTAGTAACACTGGATCAATAAGAGATGATCCTTACTGGACCTCTAGGAAGAACAGTTTAGAACTGATAGAGCTACCCAGTATAAATAAAGTTAGTTTAGTTTATAGGTAAATCTTGAGCTCTAAAATCTAACAATCTATTTCTCGTAGAACTCCTGCGCCTCCGCGTCATGTATGAAAGTAGCAGACGAGGAGAGCAACAATCTTCCCTGGGGTATACCAATCATAAACCTGGATGATATTAAAAGACCAGAACACAAACATTCCTTCACTGGTTCATTCTTTGCGTACATTGATGGAATGTGGGGAGGGAGTCTGGTGACGGTGAAACATGCGCCAGAATTTAATCAGGACGAGTTTTTTCACTTTCGATTACGAAAAGAGATTAATTTACTAAGGTATGTTGTACTCAATGTTATTACTATGTTATGCCTTTCATAATACTGTAGCTTCTTTTAAAAAACTTCTATAAAATAGAACATCTATTATGTTGCGTTTTAGAGAACCAGGCGGTTAATAAAGTTCAAGGACTGGAAAAGTTTGTTAAATTGATGATTCTAGCTATATACGAAATTTTGATCTAGACAAGAAGAACGAAATCCATTACAATAGCTGGAAAGAGCATCTTAAAATGAGTAAAATTGCAAAGTTTGGTTGCGAATTGTTGTAAAATGCGGAAAATATAGCCCTGTGAAGTTCGCAAATTTTGTATATATTTGCATTACGCGCAGGAAAAATAACCATTTTTGAGCCGAAAGTGTTTATTTTTACCGTGTGTAATACAAATATATACAAAATTTGCGAACTTCACAGGGCTATATTTTCTTCATTTTACAACATTTAGCAACCAATCTTTGCAGTTTTACTCATTCTAAGACGCTCTTTCTAGCTGTGGTGTTGGATTTCGTTCTTCTTGCCTTGATCAAAATTTAGTCTAGCTGGAATCACACATTAGAATATCATTCATCAAAACCATTTTGGTTGTGCAAATGACAATGCAAACTTGAAAATTTCTAATTTTCGACTGAATCTTACAGCTCAATCTTAGAACTCAACCCTGTCGTCAATTTTCATTTCACCTATCTCTTCTTTCCAGGCAATTACGTCATTTCCGGTTCCCAGTTGCCATGGCAATATGTCTAGATCCTTTCTGTCTGATCATGGAGAGGTTCTATCACTCAACGCTCTCCATGTACCTCAGAGATCCCACGATGGACATGGAGAAAGATCTCGAGTGTCATCTCATGAGGATCATCAGAATCATGCTGGATGTTGCGCAGGCTTTGTCTCATCTGCATAGAAGAAACTGGATACACTGTCATGTTTCCTCACAGAGTGTGCTGGGTGAGGTTTAAACAGCTGTATAGTATTCTTATCATCATCAACACCATCATCATCAT